AAAAGGTTCACCATCACTGTCCTAGGCTCTGCTCCTGGGAGGTCCCATAGTAGAGGGAGCTCCTGGGGCCCCAGAGGCATCTCAGAGCTGGAAAGGCTAGGCCCTACCTCACAGTGTGGCCCTGAGGCCTCAGCTATTTCCTGCTCTACCCTTTCCAGAAGGATGAGCCCACTATCCAAAGAGCTCAGCCTCCTGCCCTGCTTCCTGCTGTACCTCCTCATACTCATCTCCCTCAAGTCTCCTTCTTACTCAGAAAACTTCTCCATTTCCCTTTTGGTCATAGGCTTATCCCAGACTTCTTGTCCTGGCATTTAAGGCTGTCTGAATTTATGTCACCCATCCACCACTAAATGGGCCATTTTTATCCAACTCTGCCTATGTAATTCCTATCCCTCCCACGCCCAACTCAAATCCTGCCTCTTCCAGGCAGCCTTAAAGGACTCCCCCTCTCTGAGCTCCCGTGGCTCCTAGAACATCCAGAAGGGTTTGTGTTGGGCCCCTCTCCAATGACTGGTGGGTTTGACTTATGTTGTATGGCTCTGACCCCCTTGCAAACAAGATGAATGCAGGCCCAAGGCTCCTGGGTCTGCACCCCCAGGGCCTGGTATGACCAGTACTGAAAGCGTCATGCAAATGATAATAAAATGATATGCAAATGAGCACCTGCCATTTCTTGGCTGAGGGCAGGTATGCTCTCCTGTTTCAAGATGCAGATGGAGTCTAAGGACAGTTGCTTTGGCCTCCCCTGTCTGGGCCCCAGCATCTCCCACCATCACCTGGCTGACTTTGTGGCATGCACTGTGCTCTCCCTCTGGAGAGCCAGCATCTCCTACTTCTGAATGACCCTGCATGGAGAATGGAGATGGGGACATGTGGTCCAGACTTAGCCAGTTTGTTCCAACCCTCTGACCGCATGACTAGGGGCAGGGATGTGACCCAAGTTGGTCAATTGAGATTTGCTCTGAAGATTTTTGCTGGAACTATTAGGAGAAAGCATCTCTTTTTCAGAGGGGTAGGGTGTAAGCTGGAGCTGCTAGTGACCATCCGTCACTGGGGAGGGAGAGGAAGATGGAACCAGAAATAGAGACACATCCTGAGGTCAAACACCTGGATCCAGCATGCTTGAAGTAGCACACCTCCTGCCCTTCTCAGTCATATATGATAATAACTCTAGTTTCTGTTTAAGCCACATGGGTTTCCTGTCATTTGCAGGGGAAATAGTGCTAATCCAAGGTGCTTGGGGTCCCACAATTTCAGTTCAGGAATTAAAGTGAGAAGGAAGGGGACCAAGCTATAAGGAGATCTGCTACCTTATCTGATGAGATAATCACAAAATGCTATAACTTTTGTTATGTGTTGTCCCATATGTTGAAGGCCACCCCCCAAATGTGACCGTATTTGGAGAAAGGTCCTGTGAAGAGGTAATTAGGTTAAATGAAGTCATAGGAGCAGGGCCCTAATCCAACATGACTGGCATCCTAACAAGAAAAGAGAGAGACACCACAGATGTGCATACAGAGGAATGGCCATGTAAGGACATTAGCTGGACAGTCGCTGTCTGCAACCAAGGAGAGAGGCCTCAGGAGAAGTCAAATCTTCGATATCTTAATCTTGGACTTCCAGCCTCCTGCACTGTCAGAAATAAATTTCTGTCGTTTAAGCCATGCAGTCCTTGCTAGTTTGTGATGGCAGCCCTAGGACACTACTACAACCCTCACTTCGCAGACAAGGAAAGCCGCTTTGCCCGAGCTCACACAGCTTCTTCAGGTCTGCTTGATGCCAAAATCATGCTGGCTCCACTGGACGCACAGTCCGCCCAGCCCCTGCCCACCAGATCGAAGGCCTCTGGTAGGAAATAATCAATCTCTTTATTTACAAGTGATTTACAGTTAGAAAACCCAGGTGGGAGGCGGGGCCAGGATGGGGCATGGGATGGCACTTGGGCTCCGGGAGGTCACTTGTCTGCACGGACGAAGGAGGCGAAGACGCTGTCCTTCCTGCCGAGCAGCTTCTCTGGCGTGTCGAACTCGAGGATGGCGCCACGCTTCAGGACGATCACCAGGTCTGCACTCAGGATGGTGTGCACACGGTGCTGAATGGAGCAGGAGGGGGCTGGTCAGGGTGGTGGGGGAAGGCCGGGGCAGCTGAGGGCATCCTTCCTGCAGCTTGGAGGAGGAGGAGGCATGTGGCCAGAATGTCCTGGCTCGGCCGTGACTGCCCTTTTCTGAGGTGGCTGTGATTCCAAGCCTCCCTCTCCCTTCACCAGGTCTCAGCTCTGCCCCAGACTTCAGGCTTCAAGTCTCAGAGACCCCTACCCCCCATTTCCTATGGAGATGTAACCCTAGCCTAGCTCACTGAGCGTTGGGAAAGGGTGAGGAGGAGGGCTTGGAGCTTGAAGAAAGAAAGGGAGGTCTGAGGACAGCAGGTACAAATCCTCCCCACTCCAAATCCTGCAATCCAGGGTCCCTGCCAGCCTTCTAGACTCCTTACCCTGCCCTGCCCCAGGGTCCCCTCTTGATTACCAGGTCCCAGTGAGCCCAAGGGCTGCTCTTTCACTGGGTGTCCACCCTGCACCCCCTCAACGGGCCCCTTACCGCAATGGTGACCACGGTACGGTCTGCGAAGGCTGTCATCACCACCTTCTGGAGGATGTTTTCCTGCCAGGTTGGAGCAGCAGCTGTTGGCTTACCTGCCCAGGGGTTGTGGTCTGGCCTAGCTTTGGGGATGTGGGGCCCAGAGCTGTGGCCCAGCTCCCATCGGACCCCAATCCTAGCCCCACCTCCTCCCTCTGTCTGGCCCTAGTCCACATAGGACCAACCAGGTTCCTAGCATTCAAGGAGCTCAGCTCTGTGCTTGTGTGTGTGCTGTGAGCTTATGTGGGGGGTGTTGTAGTGGGGGACAGGTGTGAAGTTGCTGTGGATCTGCGTGGGCAGCTTGTGTGTACGTGGATTATGGACATGCCTGAGTCAGGGTCCCCAGCCCTTTGCCTTGTCTGCCACAAATGGCCTTGATGTTCAAGGCAACATCTTGGACTTCAGGGCTACTTTATGTAAATTTCCCCCTAAGCCACCCACCCTCTCCAAGCCCCCCACCCTGTGGATGTGCCCAGGACCAACCGTGGCCATGTCAATGGAAGCCGTAGCCTCGTCCATGATGAAGATGCTGGTCTTCCTCACAAAGGCCCGCGCCAGGCAGAACAGCTGCCTCTGGCCCTGGCTGAAATTCTCCCCGCCTTCTGTGATGATGGCATCTGAAATCAGCCCAGGAGAGGAGCAGGGCTGAGTGAATCTTGGGTTGTGAGTAGAGTAGATAGTGTGGCTTGGGGGGTGGGGGCTCAGAAATGTCTGTACAGGAGCAAATATGTGAGTGTGTGTGGTGAGTCCAGGTGTGTAGGGTTGCCGTGCCTTACACAACAACACGGATGCCACCTGCATGGGCTACAACGAGAAGAGCCCCCTCTGGAGTGTGTGCTGCTGGGCCCTGGGCAGTTCTGGGAGGGCTGTGTGCGCTGAGCGTGTGCCCCACGTGTGGGGGCCTTGGTGGCGTGATTCTCTGAAGCCAAGGCGTGGCCAGCCTCTGCTGCCAAAGGGGCCGCAGCAAATGCAGCAACCTGGGTGGGGCAGTCTCCCAGGAACCTCCAGGAGCGCCCTGCGCTTGTGATTCCCCAGATGGTTCTCTCCTTCCTCTTTCCAGGAGGACTGGGCAGGCAGGTGGACAGGGAAGGGTGGGACTGAGAATCCCGCCATGGGATTGGGGACCTGGAAGCTCTGTCTCACAGGGACCCCTACTGTCCTCTCGGTGCCAGGCCCTGAACTGACCGTTGTGTGACCCGGGGCAAGTCACTTGACCTCTGAGCTCCTGAATGGGGAGAGCGAGGACTAGATGGTCTCTGGGGTCCTGCCAGACCTCAGACTCCAAACTCTGGACAAACCCAAGGCATAGGTTTTCCCTCCCCAGGCCTTTCAGACATCCAGGCGTCCGTTAGTGCCCAACCAGCCGCTCAGCCCGCAGTAGTTACCGAGGCCTCCTGGCAGCGCCTTCACCACCAGCTTCAGCTGCGCTATCTCCAGGGCCTCCCACAGGGTGCTGTCGGAGCACTTCCGCTCTGGGTCCAGGTTAAATCTGGGGGGTGACACGGAAAGCCCCATAGGGAGGGGAGCAGAGTCCTGGCTCCATCCCCATGGGCCTTGCAGAGCGTGAGGCTGCTGAAGGGAGCAGTGAGTGAGAACTGATGGACTTGGGGGTCTGGCTGGGAGGTGGGCACTAAGGTGGTGGCACCCCAGACCTGAGGGGAGGGGTACCCCAGGGACCAGGGCCTGCCCAGGCCTAAGGAGAAAGAGAAGGGCATGAGGGTAAACTCTGAAGAACCAGCTCCAGGCCCTCATGCTCCCAGCCTTGTTCACCCCTCCAGTTTGTGCTTCAGATTCGATGGATGGAGCTGGGCCGGGCCTGGGCGGGGCCCCGGGGCTCACCGGATGGTGCCGCTGAAGAGGACAGGGTCCTGCAGGATGATGGAGAGGCGCGAGCGCAGGGTGTGCAGCGGCAGTTTGGCGATGTCGATGCCATCGATGATGATGCGCCCTGCGTGGAGACCATGCTACAGGGGGGGGGCACCATGGTGCTGGGGCTGGGGTCCCCATGAGATGCAGGGGAAGACACTGATGGCCGGGGCTCCTGTGCATCTGACCATACACTAGGCCTGAGGCTCATCTGGGGGCTGTGGGAGCCTGTGGGGTGCCGGCCACGCCACTCACCTTCGAACATGTCCACCATGCGGAAGAAGGCGAGAGAGAAGGAGGACTTCCCACTGCCGGTGCGACCGCAGATCCCGATCTGGAAAGAGAGGAACAGGTAAGCTGCGAGGGCATTGGGAGCCTGGGGGTGCCGGGAGCCTCTGGTGCTAGCTATGGGGGTGCGCGGGGCTGGGGGGTCACAGGGCATCTTCTTGTCCTGGCTTTCTCAGCAGCTTCTGCTCGGCCAGGGCTGGGCCCGGGTTTGGACTTGTTTCCTGCAGTGGGTCCAGAGGGGGCTCCCATGGAGACCCGCAAGCAAGTGCAGGTGTAGATGCCCATTTGCCTGGGCCTGGGCATGGGCCTGGCTGTGCCTGGTACTTGGCTGCAGGAGAGTTGGGGGCACTAGTGTGTCTCTCTGTGCACGGGTGTGGCAGGAGGCCTGGGTGGCTGAGTGTGGTGTGCAGGCTGTGTCTGTGCGTCCCACCTTAAACTGGAGCCATCTCTGTCCGCATCGCTTCCTGGCCCTTGGGTACCAACAGAAACGACAATAAAGAACGAAGACAGAGACAGAGATAGTGACAGAAAGATGGAAGGAGCGGGGCAGTGGCAGAGAGAGCAGAGTGGGGGTAGGAAGAGGGAATCAGTCAGAGAGGCAGGGCAGAGGGCCAGATGAGGGTTCCCTCCCTGGGACAAGGGTGGCCTCACACTCTGCCCCTAAGGCCCTGCTCTGAAGCTCAGGGGGCAGTGCCCTGGGACAGTCTGACCATTGGCAGCGGGCTTGGGGGGTGCTGACAAAGCCGCTTTAACCAGGGGAGTCTGAGGTGTCCTCCTGGGTGAGTGAGTGAGGGCAGCAGAGGAGAAGGGGAGACGGAGGGATGGGGGAGGTGGGCTGAGCCATGTCAGGTGAGGGGCCTGGGGGCTCTGATGGGCGTGAGAACTGCAGGACCCTGGAGGGCCCCGAGGTGACTCTGTGGGGTGGCCCGCCCTGTGCCCTCCTCCCTGACCTTCTGTCCTGGGGAGATGAGGGCGTTGACGTGCTTCAGCACGGGCTTCAGGGAGCTGTCGTAGCGCACACTCAGGTTCTGGATCTGGATCTTCCCTTGGTCCGGCCAGTTCTTGGGGATCAGCGAGGGTGCTGGGAGCCGGGCTGGGAGTCAGCCACCAGGCAAGGGCCACATCCAGGAGTACCCTTCCCCCAGGCTCCCTCCTGTTCCCCTCCACCCAAACACACCCCTCCTCCTGGCCCTCTCCCCAGAAGCCCTCCTGCACCCCTCACCCAGCAGCCCCTCGTAGCTCTCTGCCTCCGTTTTCAGGAGCCCGTGGATGCGTTTCACGGCCCCCAGCTGGATCTCCATGTCCGCCAGGTTCCTCACCATCCAGTTGAGGTAGTTGGAGACCTGTGGGGAGTGAGCCAGTCACATCAGTGACCACGTGGTCTATCCCTGGCCACCAGGATGCTCTTCTTATGGCTGAGGAGGGCCTATCTCCCCCCACCCCCGCCCCATATCTTTTGCTGCCCACTGGCTGGCTGTTCAGGTGGCCCTTCCAGAGGCACAGGGAGACATGAGTTCCTCACCCACCATCCGTCTGGGGCCTGGGCTCTCCTTCCTGCATGGTCCCTCTGGCATCTGACTCAGAGCAGCTTGGGGCAAGGCCCGGGGGTGTCTCATTTGGGAGAGGTGCCCCAGGATTCCCTGAGTGTGGTTTCTGATCCCGCCCCTGACCTGGCTGCTGCCACTCACCATTAGGGCGTAGGTGAGGCCCAGGCCCACCAGGCCGGCAGAGAGCCCCCTGTGCAGGGAGTTGGAGATGGAGGTCACGGCCGCGATGAGGACCACACATGCACCAATGTACTCCTGTGGAGGGACGGGCTGGCTTGGGCCCTTGGGGGCTGAAGCCACAGTGACCTCCCCCGTCCCCTTCAGAGCGGAGAGAAGCTCAGCTGAGACTCAACCCCAGCCCCAGGGCTTGGTAAATGTCAGCACACACAGGAGGCCTGTGAAGGCCGGAGCCCCAGGAGACAAAGAGCCCCAGGACACAGCTATGCTCCCCCTGCTCCCCAGTCACCTGCACACGTGTCTCACCAGCTGGCCCACACATGTACACAACATAAGTGTCATATGACCCACTTCAGACACACACACTCATCAGAGTTAAACACACACCTATTCTCACTATTCACACCTCAGATTCGCAGTCCCCAGGCAATAACATGGAGAACAAGGGGGGGCTCCGGTCAGACACTGGGAGGACCACCAGGGCTGGGAGAGGCAGGAGGCCTCGGTGCCCGCCCTGCATGTGCACATGAGCTGGTGGTATTCCACACTCTTCCCACCCTCTGGTCCATGTTTGGCCCTTGCTCTGCAGAGCTCCACACCCCTATCAGAAGCCCCTGTCCTGGGGCCCAGGGTGGGGGTGGGTGGCACTTGCCATGCGGACTTCTAGCCATCTGTTGGCAGCCGTGAGGAAGAGGGAGGCGATGTTGTTAGAGTCTGTGTATTCGAGGAGCTTCTGCTGGAACCGGGCCTCGTACCTGGAGGGAGGATGATGGTCTGAGAGAATAATTTGGGCCATGTAGCCTGTGGGAACCTGCCCTTACGCTCTAGGGTAGATGAGACCTGTCTGTACAAGGAACTCTGGAGGCTTCTTTCCTGCCCTCGTGCCCTCATCACTACTCTCCTGGGGTTACTGCACATGGGTCTGCCTCCTCTTTCTGACCAGCCTGGGCTCCTGACACCATTCTCCTTGGCCACCCCTCAGACCTGGCTGGCTTGGGCACTTGCTTGATGATGAGTAACGGAATGAATGAAAGTGGTTTCAGCACTGCTCCCAGGGACGCAGTGAGGGACTCAGAGGGACTCCAGACAAGCCTTGGTGGGCACTGGTTTTTCACTCCTGGAAGGTGTTTGTTCTGCTTCGGTTATTTCTGGGTGGAGGGCCTGTGATGAACTCTGTGTGTCAAGAGAGTAAAGCGAGTCTCTGAGGTGAGGAGCGGGCATTTGCACAGCACACGTGGATGTGTGTGGGGTGATGTGGCTGAGGCGGGTGTGAAGCCCTATGCCTGCAGGGCTTGATCAAGTGCGTGTGTGAGATGTGCATGTGAGAGTGCAGGTGTGTGCGATGAGAAAGTCCGCGGGGTATGTGACCGTCTGCTGGGTGAGTGTGTGAGGGTGTGTGAGCGTCTGGGGCAGGTGTGTGATGGTGGAAAGAGCCCCAACTTTGGGGCCATGTGGACCCAGGTTGGAGTCCAGCCCACTCCTTACTGGCTGTGTGTGTGGACTGAGACTCAGTTTCCTCATCAGATAGTAATAGTTCCTACAGGGACTGCCACAACCTCTGAGCCCAACGCTGAGCCCAGTGCTGGGTACTCCTGAAAGGTTTTTGGGGAAAAAGCAGGGCCTCCTAGAAAAATCAGGTCAGACAGGCCTGGGTTCCAAGTCTAGCTAGCACCAGCGCTCACTGACTGTGTAGTCTCAAATTGGTTCCTCAGCCTCTCTGGGCCTCTTCTCCTCATCTCAGTAGGGGGCTGCAGTAACTGTGCTGCAGAGTTACTGCAATAGCACAGTTACAACGCTTAATGCAGGCCTGGCACTTGGCTAGTGTGCAATCAGTAAATGCTACTCAGCTCTCAACAGGGTGGGCTGCTGGGCAAAAGCCAATGAATTAAACACATCCAAGGGATGATTATAAAGTTCTTCATTCATTTATTCAAAAACCATCCACTGTGTGAGTGCAATGCGGGGGAGGCCTTGCTGGGCAGCAGTTCCCCTGCCGACCACGGGCTGGGGCTGGGGCTGGTTACAGGACACTGGGATTTACCCGGATCCTACTGAGCGGGTCTGCCTGCCCTAGGCCAGCCTGAAGCCTTCAGGACACCAGCTATAAGACAGACATCACCAATATCTAGAGTAGAGGTTAGGCCCGGGGGGTGTTGACGAGTCTGGAAGTTGAAGGAACTGGGGAAGTTCAGGCTTGAGAAGGGGGCAGGGAGGAGACCCTAGAGCAGCGGTTCTCAACCTGTGGGTCGCGACCCCTTTGGCGGTCGAACGACCCTTTCACAGGGGTCGCCTAAGACCATCCTGCATATCAAATATTTACATGACGATTCATAACAGTAGCAACATTACAGTTATGAAGTAGCAACGAAAATAATTTTATGGTTGGGTCACAACATGAGGAACTGTATTTAAAGGGCCAGAAGGTTGAGAACCACAGCCCTAGAGTCATGTGCCAGGCTCCAAGGAGCCTCTGGATGGGAGACAGCACAGGCTTGCAGGGGTAGGGGATGACCAGGGAGCAGAGCCAAGACCGGAGTGGCGCTCTGTTTTACTCAGACAAGACCCCTAAGAGGCTCTCCCACTGGCCCCAGATGTCCCAAGGTGTGAACTCCAGGGACCTGGGCATCTCTCCCAGGGCTGCAGCTGGACTTTGGGGGCTAGGGGAGAAGATGTCAACCTCCTTGGACCCTCCCAGCTGGTCCTTGGGCCCTAGGGTTACTCTTAGACACAGGGCTTGGTGTCGCAGGGCTCCTGTCACACCCTGCACAGCTATGCCATCCTAAAAATAACCTGGATTCACTCTCTGGTTGAGGCTTAAATACCAGAGCCCAACTATCTGGGTCAGGGGTGTCTGACCTGTCTGGCTGGAGGAGAGATGCACTAATATATCAGTCAGAGATGAATATAACAGCCCCCTCCCCGCACCCCCGCCACTGCCTCCCCAGGCAGCCTCAATGTTCCCGCCCAGCCCAACATCACAACTCAGGATGGCAAGACGATGGCAGGGGCACTGACGTTTTCAGGGCATTCCTCCAGCCTGGTGAATTCTGCCCACCCTTTGAGTCCTAGCACCATTGCTACCCCCTCTGTGAAGCCCTCCATGACTGCCCTCCCCTTGTGTGCTCCCACAGCTTGTGTCCAGCCAGGCACTTTCAGAGTACCTGTCACATGGGTTTGTCCTGGCCTGCTCCAAGTCTGGACTGTACGCACTTCCAGGTCAAGGGTTCATCTGACTCATCTCTGTTTTAGTGCCTGGCATGGGGCTTAGCACATGGTGCAAGCTCAGTAAAGGTTGTTGAATGAATGAGCAGCTTCAAGCCTGGGCGCGGAGAGGCCTTACACAGAACAGTAATATAAGCTCTCTGAGTCTCAGTTTCCTTGTCTGAGAAATGGGAATAGTGACTGTCACTACCTCGGATTGCAGGGCAGAATGAATGAGATGGGCATGGAAAGAACTCAGCAGTGTTTGGCTTACAGGAGGTACATGCCATTGACTGTGAATCCAACCCATGATCCTTTGGTGTGCAGGCTGATGTGCTACCCACTGAACCACACTGGCCAGAGCTAGGAGAGTCTCAAAGATGGCCTCATGCTTGCCCATATGACGTAAGATCCTTTCTACATTGATGTGTGAGTACTTGTCCCAGCCTCGTTTGTTCTGAAATTCTGCCTTAGGTCACAGGGGGCCCGGGCTTGGCTGTGGGGCTGAGTTTTCCTCTCAGTGGATCATACAGTGGAGCCCACCTGCCCTGTCCCTCTGGGGGACATGATCTGGGCCTTGGGGTTTGAGGAGGGGTTTGGAGATGTATGCCCTGGGCCTTCCTAAGTGGAGCTCTGAGAACTGAATCTGATGACCTGTGACCCAGGCCTTCCCCCACCCCCACCCCGCAGCCACCCCACTACCCTCCCCGGGGTGAATCTGGCACCTGAAGGCCCGGATGGTAATGAGGCCTTCCACAGTTTCAGCGAAGTGCGAGAGCAGCGGGAGCTGGGTGGTGTCATCCAGCTGCTGCAGGTCCCTGTGCCGGGGAACAGAGCGCCATGGTTAGGAGGGCAGGCTCTGGGCTCAGCCTGGGTCTGCATCCGAGCTCCACCCCTTTAACCATGTGGGCAAATGGCTTTGCCTCTCTAGATCTCCGGCTCTCACCAGTCACTGGTACCACCCCACCAAGCAGTTGCGAGGACTGGACAGCTCGTGTAAGTAAAGTGCTTAACCCGCATGCTGGCACAGTCACTGCTATCCTGGGCATCACCGACCCCTCCTCTGCACCTCTGTCCCTGTGCTTCTGCCACATAACCTCTCTCCGCAGGGAGGCTGGGCAGGCACGGTTAGTTCCCTTGCACAGGTGACCACCCTGAGCCTGAGACAGGTGGTCGAAGGAACAGAAAGGCAACCCCAAAGCTTCCAGTCCCTCCCCAATAACCACAATAGATTTCAGCACATCACAGGTCAGGTCAGACTCTAAAGAGCTCCTCGAGGGGGCAAGGCCAGCAGTTTCCATGGAAACAGCATTGCTCCTGCTCTCCACAGCTGCACCTCGACAGGCTGGGATGCAGAAAGCCCCTTTCCTGGACACACCGTCTCCAGGGCCACAGTGGGTGCTAGGGGAACAGGGCCGTTACCCGGGCAGAGGAAATGCACTTTGTAAAACAGCTTGTAGTGTTTAAACAGCCACCATGTTTTGCGAATGTCAGTGCACTATGGATACATTGTGGGTACCAGGGGATTCTGGACCAAATAGGCAAAACGCAATTTATACAAGACTTGATCCTTTGGTCAAGGTAATTGAGGCCAAAATGTACCTAAATTTAATTATTATTATTGCTAATCAGCATTTTGACTCCAGTTTTTAACCAACTTTTGGACTTGGGAAAGGTACTTAGTCTTTCTCACCATAACCCATAGTAAGAAATACATTTTATATCATAACACACCCCTATGCCACCAGAACAAAGCTTCCATGAAGGAAAGCTTACTGTTACTATGTGAATACGGTCTGATATTTTCCGTTTTATTTCTTTTCTTTTTAAATGCTGCTTATAATCTATGATACTGATTTCATGACCCATGGCTAGGTTGTAATTGGCATCTTGAGAAACGCTGGCCTAGAAGTTCTTTAAAATTGTCCCTGGGATTCTTTGACTCTAGGAGTTAAATAGAATCATTCCCAGAAAAAATTCCTAGGGATGTTCTGAGAAAATTTTGAGGAGAAGAGAGGTGTGCGGTGGCTCCAAGGCCCTGAAGGCAAATGTGATCATGAGGCTGGTGGTGAGCGACTCCCTGGTGAGGAGGCTCCTAACCCACGCGGCTGGAATGTGTGGTTGCCATAACACCCCTCACATCTGGTGCCCTCTGACTTCACGCATCGGCAATCTGTCTGGTCACGGGGCTCATACAACCCTCCTGAGATGCATTCTGGCAAAATGAATGAAGGGCATAAGCACGCACATACCCCCGGACCTAGCAGCTCCATTCCTGACCATAGCTCCCAAGGAAACAGTCCAGGTATTAGCTGCAGCCCGTGTGCTGACACAGGCTTACATTAGGAGAGTGGAATATGAATACTTCATTTCCTTCATGTCTGTTTTCCTTTGCATGGGGAACAAGACCCTACTACCTTTATGATAAAGACTAACCAGAGTACCAAACTGCCATTGCAAAGCACCTCCCACCCTGCTCCCCACCCCCAACCTCGGAGGCTGACAAATGATGCCACCACCTGGAAGCCACCCGGAAGTACTTCTGGATGAAGTAGCACACGATGGCCAGGGGAAGGAGGGCCACGAGGAACACGGGTGTGACGTACGAGATGACGGCCAGGGCCGAGACGCAGAGCAGGGTGGAGCGGCTCAGGCACTCCAGCGTGGATGGGATGTGCTGAGGGAGGGAGGGGAGAGAGGCAGGGAGTTTCCATATTTGATGAGGTTCAGTGTGTTACTTGCTGCCAGGCTTTGCTCTCTCACACTATTATAGGAACACATCTTATCTCTCCAGCTTCACTGTGAGCTCGCTGAGGGCAGGAGGCAGGACTTTGCCTTCTCACTATCTAGTACAACGGTAAATAAAGAACATAGGCTGAATCAAAATAAATATTCTCCACAAAGTCACCTTGGTCCAGCCAGTGTGGCTCAGTGGTTGAGCATTGACCTACGAACCAGGAGGTCATGGTTAGATTCCTGGTCAGGGCATATGCCCAGATTTCGGGCTTGTTCCACAGTGTGGGGTGTGCAGGAGGCAGCCAATGATTCTTTCTCACCATTGATGTTTCTATCTCTCTCTCCCTCTCCCTTCCTCTCTAAATCAATAAAAAGATATATATTTTTAAAAATCAGTCTCCTTGGTTTGGAATATGTTGGAACCTTCCTAGAGTGAGCCAGGGGGCTCTTGGATGGAAGCCAACTGGATGTGGTTTCCCTCAGCCTTATTATGAAGGCCTCACAGGGGGCCGTGGGCAGCATTATAATCAGATTGGGGCCCACTGGGTTCCTCCCCCAGGGCCCACGTCACCGGATCTGGGGAAGCCAGCAACAGACAGGGGCCTGGCCTCTCTCCAAACTGGAGGACTGGGTCACAGTCCTGTGTACCTGGTCGATGGTATTGCAATCAGATGAAAATCTGTTCAGGATGCTTCCGAGGGGCGTGGTCTCAAAGAACCTAAGAGGCAACCAGAAGAAGTTACTCATCTTTTCTGTTTATTGAGTGAGGGTAGTTATTTCTTTCAGTTTGGTGTCTCTGGAGTCATCCCTGGGTCTAACCTTTGCAGGTCTATAGCCATCTGGCCTGAGTCCCTGAGAATTCCCTCAGCAGCCCAAAGGGGTGCTGGCCCCTTCCTGGCCTCTCTTACTATCAAGCCCATGTGTGACCACTGCCACCTTCCTCAGCTGCTCCCCAGGCCTGACTCACTCAGCAGCTCTCCTCCCCGGGACATAGAGTCCTCTCCAAGAGACAACCAGTCAGGGGAACAGGGCCCTGGGGACACCCTGTCAGCTGGCTGACCCTGCAAGGCCACTCTGTCTATCATCACTCAAGCTGTGACACAGAGCCGGCCTAACCCTAACTAGAGCATTTCAGACCCCCAGATATGAGACAAATAGAGGGTAAATAAACTTTGAGGCCATCTCTCTGGGCCACAGAGAGGCTGAAAAGTAAATAATGGAGTCAGGTGGTAAGGTCTGGCATTGACAAGGATGGGGCCAGATGACCTGTTGGCCTGTGGATTCTTAAGCCGAATTGGCTAGCCAGCTGGGCAGTGACTTCTTTTATACCAAGTGGTCTTTAGGGTTTTTATCCATGTCATTACAGAAGATTAGAGCAGCTACACCATGTGCCCAGTGTCAGAACCTGCAGTCTGGCAGAGGGAGGACAGAGAGGAGGAGAGCTGAACCCGTGGTTGGAGATAGGTAGATGGTACCTGCCTAGGGAAGGGAAACTAACATTTATGCAAAGCCTGCAGACCCTCACTTTGGAAGACTGTTATGATAACTAGATGAGTCAACCATATAAAATGCCTAGCACTGTGTCTGGCTGAATAAATGCCCATTTCCTTCTGTTTTCTACATTGAGGAGGGCACTTTTACAAACACCTGAGGCTCCTTGAATCGTGCCCAACAGCTTGTGACAGAGATTGTATATCCCCATTTTAAAGATGGGATGACTGAGGCCTACATCATAGTGACTTGCCCATAGCCCCAGCATGGTGGGGGAGAGGGGTACCTCATGGGAGCCAGGATGAGCTGGCTCAGCAGGCTGGTGACACTTCTTTTTTTTTGCAACTTCTTGGCCACCTTCAGCCCCGTCCACTCTACTGTGACAGATGTGACCAGGCAGAGCATGATGCCCAGGCTGCAGAGCACCGTGAACACCAAGGCGTAGACGGTCTGGTCAAGGGAGCATTCCTGGGCCAGGCAGAAAATGAGGCAGAGTCCCGGGGGTGTCTATGGCTCACAGCCCCCTGCACCCCCCCCCAGGCCCTTGCCCTGGGGCTGCTGGCCCCACCTGGCTGAGGGAGCAGTTCCTGGCCATGGGGCTCAGAGTCAGGGCGCTGTCTGTCCACTTGGCCAGCCAGTAGTCAATGGCCACCAAGACCATGTGCTTGAGCAGCTGGGAGAAGACGAGCAGCGACAAGAGCAGGATGCCAGCAGACGACAAATACTTGGCGCAGGCTCTCCACGGGATCTTGGCGCGCTGGTGCAGCACCGAAGACAGGTTGTCCTCCTCCTCACTCTCGGCTGCCTCCTCTGCAGGCCACAAGAACCCACCCTGTGGCTTCACATTTCACAGTCCTCTGAGCGGGGAGCAGGGGGCGTGTTCTCCCCACTTACAGATGGGAAGACTCAGGCACACAGAGGGCAAAGGGTAAAATCAAAGGCATACTATCTTACCACCCTCAGGACTCAAACCTTAGCCTCCCAGGGAATGGTTAGACCTCAGGCCATGATTGTGGTCCCAGTCCCACTGTCTGTACCTTCCTCCTCTTCCTCATCCTGCAGGAAGCCATCTCTTGAGGACATGGCCCGAGGCAGGCCCTGGGGTGGCTCTGGGACTTTTCTCTCCACGATGGTCTCCTGAAAGACAAATGGGGCCTGGCTAATGTTCTCAGGTGTGCAGAGGGAAAAAGAGAGGATGGTGGCAACCATCCCTGGTAACGAACAGTGTCAATTTCCAGGTTGCCCCTGCCTCTAGAAGGGTCCAGATGGACACATGTTTGTACTGCCTTCTCTTTCTCTGTCTTATAAAAAAATTATTCTTTATTGTTGAAAGTATTACATACATCCTTTTTTATCCCCCATTGATAGCTACAGCCCCCCACCCTCACCCCCCATACTGCCTTCTCCATCAGCTAACAACTCCCCAAAGTCCCTGGGGGAGATACTTCTCCCCTATTCTTAATCTCTGTGATATGGGAGAGCAGGCAATTCTCCCTGGCTCCAGGGGTGAGCATATGACACAGTACTGCCCAATCCTCACATTCCACATCCTTGGCCACAATGATCGGTCAGAGGTGGGCACCTGATCAAATTGGGCCAATGAGAGTCAGCCCTGGGACTTTTGCTAAACAATCCTGGAAGAGGCACTCTCTTTCTGACAGTTGTTGATCTGTGAGAATGTAAACCTGAAACTGCCAATGGCCCTCACAGCTACCATGGGAATGAAGCCAATTTGAGGGGAGCAGAGCCAAGGGATGGGGAGAAACAGATCCCTGGTGACATTGTTTAGCTGCCTGGATCCAGCTCTATCTGAGGTTATGATACCCTGGACTTTCTGGTTTCATGAGTCAATAATCCTTAATCCCTCCCCACCCCCCCCTTTTTTTCTTTGCTTAACCAGTTTGAATTGATTTTCTGAAACTCTGTGAAGTAAATGGTATCTGACTATCTCAGGATAAGGGGAGGGCATCCTCCTGATTCTGCCTTGGGTAGTGGGCACAGATACTGTTCATCCTCTGATAGAAGCAAGTTTATACTCCGCTCTCACATCTGTCCTTTGGGGGGGGGGGAGTGCCTGGGACCAGCGAGGGCAGGAAGGCCTTTATGAGGTTAGGTCTAGCAGAACCTTCTTCTCAGGCGGTGGCTGCTTGGTCCAAGGATATACCCACCTTCTCCAGCTCTTGGTCCTGCCGGTTCATGAGGGTCTTCCAGTGCTCAAAGAGCTGGCACTCAGACCTCTGGAAGTCCTTGAGCGTGCCCTCCCTCTGGATGGTGCCATCCTTCATGGCGATGATCTGGAAAGGCAGTAACAAACCCTGCTGAGGGCTGGCTGGGGATATGGAGTGGAGGTCACACCCCGCCTGACTGAGGAGTCAGAGGTGGACATATACATCCTTTTCCCACCACAAATGGCCTCTGGTTTGCCCACTGCAGCAAGCTGGTGGTGATAACCTACCCTCACCAACACACTCCCAGGATTTAGGGTTTGGTACATCTGGGGGGTAATTCTCAATGGTTGCCCATGGTTGATAGGAGGTTTGCAGAGCAACTTCGTGCATCCTGGTCAAGCTGCCTGGTTATCTGCAAGACAGCTGTGGCAGCTGTTTTTGTACACTTAATGGGCTCATTGCATTCTACCCTTAGCTCCTCCTAAAGGCAGGTCTGAGAGGTTCCACCAGCTTTGGCAAAGCACCTGTTGGCTTAAATGTGTGGCCATGCTTCTTTGAAATCAATAAAACTTATTTTATTTGTGACACTCAGTGTTTCACACTCGTGTGGATTCGTGACTAATTTAGACACCTATCCCTGCTCCTCTCACCCCCATAAACCCCCTGGGGGTCTAGGGAGGGGTGTCGGGAGTCCTATCCACTGATACTCTAAGAAACCAGGCACATCCGTGCTTCCCTTCTTTGGATTAAGGATTGTCATACAATCTCGTTAAGGTCACTATGGAAACTCAGACATGAACTTGCACCTGTTTCAATAGCTTTTTCTTTTTGTAATTTGGACGTTTCCCCCTTTTCCATAGTGGAGGAAAGGTCTTGCTACATGTAGAAGGGAGACTTATTTAGGGAGGATTAGAAGGGCCAATTGGCACAGGCAGACCTGAAGCTTAGGGAGGACTTCAATTTTCAGGGGCAACTCTGAGTAGGGTTTAGGCATGGCCCAGATGTCAAAAGCCAAGTGATTTCCATCTTAAAATCGAAGTGTTTTCCAATGAATTAAAAAGAAACTATGTGTAGATGTTGAGGGGTATGTGGATTTAGTTAAATGTGGGGTTCACAAATTGCATTCCACCGATAATATGGAAGTTCCTGTTACTACTGCTATCGTTTGTTTCCAGATGGGAAAACGAAGGCACACAGAGGGGAGAGTAAAATCAACTTGAATCTGACCCACCGGGTGGCAGGAAGCTGGTTTTCCCATCCAGTGGGCATCCCAAAGGCCAGCGGATGAGATATGTAAAGAGTAAAATCAACTTGAATCTGACCCACTGGATGGCAGGAAGCTGGTTTTCCCATCTAGTGGGCATCCCAAAGGCCAGGGGGAGAGATATGTGACTGAGCAGGATGCAGAAGGTAGGAACTGAATGTCTACTTCTTTCTGAGACTTCTCAGAGCCAGCCCTTGTGGTCCCCAGGCCAGGATGGGAATGCCTGCAGCTCTAGGTGATAGCAAACCCTTGGGCTGTGCAGGTCTCCCTGATCTGCCCAGTCTGCACGAAGCCATCCAGGGCTGATCTCTTCTGCTCAGACACTGCTATGAGACATCTCATTAACTTCTTAGAAGATGGCAGACTGCCTCTCCCACCTCAGCCCCCCGCAGCTTGATGTCCCTGTGGCCCCTCACCCAGTCTGCGTGCGGCAGGTATTGTAGTTTGTGGGTCACTAGGACCACTGTCCTCTTATCGTCTCTGAGGAGCTCGAGGATCCCAGCCTGCATCAGGTGGTCACTCAGGTGGACATCCAGAGCTGAGAAGGGGTCATCCTGGACAGAGAGGAGAAGGTAGGGGCAAGTGCAAAGGGAGGGGGTGACAGTGCAAAAACCAGCAGTTATATCAGCTCTGGTCTAGGGACTAATTAGCTGTGTGGCCTTGGACAATGTATCTCAGCTCTCTGGGCCTCAGTTGCCTCATCTTAAAATGGGGCTGTTATCAGGTATCATTCTCACACAGTGGTTCCCCATAGTCTATGAAGCCTGAATTCCTTATCATGGGAATCCAGGCCCTTTACAACCTGCTCAGTCTTCCTTTCAATCACTTCAGGTTTCCAGGGAACTTGCGATTCCAGGCCCTTGTCTATACTGTTCCCTCTGCCTGGAGTCTGATGTACTTTTTGTCTGCCTGGCGAACTCCCACTCATCCTTCAGTGTTCCACCCAAGCACTGGCTCTTCCTGTGTCCTTTCCTGACCCCCACACCTAGCCTCCCCTTCTCTCTGTTCCACCGATACTCTGCCCAAAGCCAGATCTGATATTTATGTACATGAGGCCCCTAAGAACTGAGGCTCCCCTTTCCCCCCAAAAGAAAACTGAGACCTTCTTGTGCCTGGTACAAAGTAGTACCTTAATAATGTTTGCTGAAATCAACTACAATATCCACTTTACTTCTTTCTAACAAGGTTGTTTAAAGTTCACATGGGATCCTGAATGAGCCAGGACTTTGTGAAGTGCTGAACATGAGTCAGTTACAGACTGTGAACCTGACATAATGACATGTGTTTAGTAGGGAGTGTTTACGTGTGTTGTGGAGAAGAGAGAATAAAGCTGGGATCAGAGACCTGAGGTTCCTCTTCCAATTCTCTCTCTAAATGGCCCCTTCTTTCCTCTTGTTTAAGTGACCCACACTTCAAGGCCCTCCTCCAGAAAACCTTCCCTGAGTACCCTAGTCCTCACAGTTGTCTTCCTGGACAAGGCTCCTCGTCGTTGGTGCCACACAATTTGACTCTCAGCTAGGCTGTGGCTCTTGAGTAGAGGTAAGCTCTGCCTCCCTATCTGCACCTTTGAGACCAGTGGTTTTCCAGTATAAACTAAGGCACCTAACAAAGAACTTGGCATGAAGTAGGACACGGATAGCTAATAAGTTTGCTCTCATGTCTGATGGCTAGTGGTTACCCAGTTGAGAAGGATTCCAAGGACAAGTTTCTGTGGGAAAAATTCTGTGATCAACTAGCAATGTCTGCTGTGGGCACAAGATGGGAAGTGGCAGCACACACTCAATGTATTAGTCATTCTCACAGCTAGGCTAAGTAAGTACTGATAGGTTGGGCTCTCCTACAGAGAACTGGCCTGTCACTACTACTTGCCTTCCCTCAAGGCTACTGTGGAGCTCAGTGTGAAGTTCACAATGGGCCATTTGCACTATCCTTGTCTCAGTTTCCCCATTAATCAGATGAATAAGTAATATCTCTGGCAGAAGAAATTTGTCCCTGAAGAGTGAGGCAGTTGGTGATGGTGTGTGTGTGTGTGTGTGTGTGTGTGTGTGTGTGTGTGTGTGTAGGCAATGAGCCAGGGAGGCAAGCCAGACACAAGGGCCCCTAGGGAGGTGCTGGCTGGTGCACTCACCAGGAAGACGACGTTGGTATGCTGGTAGAGGGCTCGGGCCACGCTGATTCGCTGGCGCTGACCACCAGACAGGTTGATGCCCTGTCACCAAAGGGGAGGAAAGGTCACGCCCTCATAGCCCTCAGGAGAGACTGTCCTGGCACCTACTCGACTGTGAGCTCTCTGGGATGGAGGCCTGGCTCTGTCCATCTCTAGGTTCCCCCCTCACATTGCAGAGAGAAGGCACTTCTATATGTTCCCTGAATTCAGTGGGAAGTGGGGCATATAATCTCCAAGTCCTTGATGAGTCATCATATAAGTGGTAGGGACCATATGATGACTCATCAAAAACCAAGACAGAGGAGGTAGGGGTTTTATTATATGCAAGGAGGCAGAAACTGGAGAATCCTATTGTCTAAGTGTGGAGGAGGGGCCCCGCCTGGGGAGTGAACAGAAAGAGCATAACCCCAAGCCTAGCACAGTGCTGTGGGAGCTCCCAGTATATCCCCGGGGCCTGAACGAAGGAGATGTTAGTCATCTCCAGCCTGGGAAGGTGGTAAGCTTTCTGCACCAAGCAGGGCTGGAAACTTGCCATGGACGGCCCCCAGCCTGGGTTCAAGGAGATGATTTTGACCCCACTGCAGGAAGCTCTGCACCCTCTGCTTCACCCTCTTTCATTTCCCAAGTACCTGCTCTCCATGACAAGGGTCTGGGCCTGGTGGTGGTGATGGGTGGGGAGCAGGGGAGGTTGAGGTCCCCAGTTTTGAGATAACCCCTTGGAGGCTCTACTAACCCGTTCCCCAATCTGGGTCTGGTCTCCATGGGGCAGGATGTCGATGTCCGGCTGCAGGGAGCAGGCTTCGATGACCATCTTGTACCTGGAGTGGGGTGGGGCGGGGACACAGCCGCTCAGCCAGACCAGAGCGGGGCCTGAGCACTAGCAGGGGGTCATTAGCCTCCAGGCAGCTGTGCCAGGGTGAGCAATGGCTTTAATGGGTCTCCTGCTTGGGTGCAAGCAAACACCATGTGAGCTTAAAAACAGCTGAGGGCAGCACGCTCCACGGACTTGGAGCAAGTTAAATATTTGAAGGATGGAATTAGATGGCAGCAAATATACCGCATAAGTGACAAGAGAGGACCGAGGGCCCCTGTGCAGTGGGAAAAGTGATAGTCAGAGCCCACGCTTGGGGCGCTGCCAGGGAAAATAACTGCTGGTTGGTTTAGCCAGTAGTGATAATAGCTTGTCAAATATTTGCCCAGCCTGCTCCTCTCATACTTCTCGGGCCAGCTCTTCACCTGGCAGGTGCCAGTCAGGGTGCACAGAGGAGGCATCAGAGTGTCTGGGTGACATGCACTTGGGTATCAGGCAGCCTTGGATTTGAGACCCATTTCGTCACTTAGTGGCTGGGTGGCCTTGGGCAAGTTACCTAGGCTTTCTGAGCCTTGGTTTCCTCACCTGCAAAATGAGAATGTGAATAGTACCTGCCTACTGGGATTGCTGTGAGCATTAGAGGAAGTCATGTGTACAAAGAGCGTGGCACTGGGTCTGGTAAGAGCTCAGTCAATGTCAGTGGTTATTGTTCACTGGAGGGGAAAGGAGTGGGGTGGGGGGTAGGGAATCATGAGCACAGAGACTCCTGGGGAGCTGGGTCGGCCTTCCCACCAGCCACAGGAGAGGGCAGCAGGGCTCCCGCAGCTCCCTGGCCGGGAGTTGGGCTGCCTGATGCCAGGGCTCATCTGAATTGTTTCCAGATGGACCATATGGACCAGGCTGGAATCCAGCTAAGCCGGCTGGAGCGTGGACGGCTGGGTGTGGGGCATGGATGGAGGGGCAGGGCAGAGGGCTGGGGCTTGGAGGCTGGTGCAGGTAGCTAATGCTGCCACGGTCAATTTCTCCCTCCCCAGCCCACCTCCCTGTCAGAGGCTTTTACCGTTGTTTGTTGAAGGGACTCTCAAAGGTGATGTTCTCCTCCACGGTGGCGTTTAGCAGCCACGGTTTCTGAGAAGCATAGGCCACGGGGCCTCTCTTCCTGGGAAAAGCAGGGTGGGAGTAGGGAGGCATTTTCAGGGCGCATTCTCAGAGGCACTTGTCCAAGTGATGGCTTAGGCCAGAGCAGGTGGGTGGGGCGGCACTAAGGTGGGAGGTGCAGTTGGTGGAAATCTGATGTGTGGCCGCTGGTGATGGCTTCTTCCCCAGGACCTGGGGCAGGCTTGGGTGTTGGGTGTTAGCTGTCTGGGGGGACCTTGGCCCTTCCCTGCCCTATACCCCACATGCCCCACCCCTGCAGACTGTACCCCTTCCTGAGTCCTACCCAGAGCTAGGAGGGAACCAAACAAACACTGGACCCTTGGTTTCCCCTTCATTGAATAGCTCTCAAACCATTCAACTTTGAAATGAGCAGGGAACTCTCCAAACGGAACTTTTAAAGAAAGTGGAGCCAAGGAAACCACACTTAGTATGATGCAACTTTTGAAGACAGCCCCTCCCCCCCAAATTAAAAAAGAAAAGGAAAAGATGAGCATCAGATAAAAATGACCTGGTGGGGCCTGGCTGGTGTGGCTCAGTGGTTGAGCACCGACCTATGAACCGAAGGTCACGTGCCGGGGTTGCTGGCTCGATCCCCAGTGTGGCGTGTGTGGGAGGCAGCCGATCAATGATTCTCTCTCACCAATGGTGTTTCTATCTCTCTACCTCTCCCTCTTCTCTCTGAAATCAATTAAAAATATATTTTAAAAAATGACCTGGTGGGAAGGAGCAGCTTGATGCGCCGTGGCTTCCAAACCACCCCTCGGAGCACAGAGCCCTGTATGGCTCCTTCCTGGGGCCTGCCTTCCACAGTTCTCCTTGGCCTGAGACCCCCCTGAGGAAGCCGGGCCTGGAGGGCAGTGCTCCTGGGGCACAGTACCTGAGGTCCGCCTCCGCTGCCGGCTCCCGCTCTGGGCTGCAGCAGGGAAAGAAAGATGCATTTTCAGGGTTCACGTGAGTGGATTCTCCTCTCTGCAGATATTTCGAGCTCCCTCAAACCCAGCACAAGAGTCTTTATCATCCCTGTGACCATGTCTGCAGCCACAATGCTGCATGGAGGGGTGTGGGAGTAGGGCGTGGCCATCCAGAGGGAGCCTCCACTGCCAGAACCCCAGAAGTGTCCAGAATCCATGTGGGGTAGGTAAGGAGGGTTCCCCGGGAAGGGTAAAGGGGAGAATGGGGGAAAGCCACCATTGGTGCAGGCTCATGGGGGAAGGGGATTTTGGAAGAGTAAGAGGACCAACATGTGGCTCCTCCAGACCCAGCCTCTGCATCAGGGCTCAAGTGCACCAGCCGAGGTCTCAGGCTGACACAGCTGCATCAACAGCTGGGAGAGGGAGTGCTGTCTGGCTGGAGCCAGGCCTGGCTGGACAGGCGACATTGTTGCCTGCAGTTTGTGGGTGGGAACCCACGGCTGATGAAACTCAGGTGGCACCTAGAGAACTGAGAAGGGGTGATTTGCAGCCCCATATGGTCCTCTCAGAGGACAACAGAGGAATCTGGGATCTGCCCCGAGAGACCCAGTCAGCTGCGGTGCCCACGTGCCCTGGACTGACCTGACCTGCTCCAGGACCAACTATTCTGTCCTGTTATTCTCATCCGCACAAGCCTACTTATCACATACCACGAGGCCCGATTTTTGGCTCAAGAACTATGGTCACTATGGCTAGAGAGGCTGGGCCTGTCATCACGCCCTGGCACTTGGGGACAAGATGGGAGAAAGGGCAGAGAAAGACAGGGACATGAAACTCTAGTGTCAGAGAGCGAAGGCCGGACCTTAAACCTACATAGTTGAGTCACTCTT